TTTTTAAAAAAATTCTGTAGACCCAAAAAAATTTTGTCAGGAATAAACGTTTTTTCGATTTGAAAAATTTTGGATCTACAGAATTTTTTAACAATTGTCCTAAGGATTGCTCACACTAGGAAAAAACTTTTAATAAAAATATATAAATTGGGGGTCACTGACGTTGTTTTTCGAATTAAACTATTTCAAATGCAATGTTTTCATTCTTCTATAAAAATATCAATGACAATGTCGAAAATTTTTTGGTCTGATATGTGTCTTTTCCACTTTTCAAGAAACTGTATGGAGTCACAATAAATTGATTTAATTGTAAGTTGTGTTGGCACCAAGGTATAGTTCTATGACTATGTTTATATGACTTTAACATTATAACATTTTTGCTACTAGGTGGTTTTACGAGTTCTTGATAAGCTGATATATCGTTTTATCAAGTCATTGTAGATCGTTTTAGATTGTTTTATTGGCCATTTTAGATTGTTTTATTGGCCGTTTTAGGTCGCTTTATTGGCCTTTTAGATCGTTTTCGGTAGTTTTAGATCGTTTCAGATGGTATTAGGTCGTTGTGGATGGTTTTAGGTCGTTTTAGAAGGTTTTAGGTGATTCTTTGTTTTAGTGAGTACGTCTTACAATGTCAATGTTGCTCTATAGAAGTTATACAATTCTAGTTGTATAAATTAACAATGAACAGTTTCCCTAAAACCAAGTTACCCCCAAAACCATATACTTTGTTTAACTACCTTTATACAATTGAGTGCAACGGTTATATAAAACAGAAGTAACAGTTTCACATACCAGCATGAACAGGTACTTAATTAAATACATACACATTCTTGGATGGAAATATTGAATGAAATTGTTTTTGCTATAACTAAAATATTTTCAAACTTTCTGGATCCCTTTTAGCCGGAAATCTCTGATGGTGGTTACACATTGCCGATGAATCGCTACAACTTACGTCTAAATTCTGTTTAATTTGGCAAAGTTTTAAATTAAAAAAAGGTTCAAAACATTTGTCTTGACAAATTACACCAGTTAAATTAAGGTTCAAAAACACATTTTTTTCAGACCAATACCAGTAAAATTAAGGTCTAAAATATTTTTCTCAGACCATCAATATTTATATAAAAAACGTTCAAATTAATTTTTTTTAATTACACCTTTTGTGCCCCCCCCCCTTTAACTGAGGGCCTGGGGCGAATTGCCCCCTTAGCACCCCCACCCCCCCTCTGGGAGGCCCTGTTTGTTACCAGTCTAAGACTGCAGCTTGGCAGTCGAAAGGTTCTGAAAAATAATACTACAGCAGAAAACGTCTCATAATTACTAAAAAGCGTGCTCTTCACACTTACACATTTCCCAGACAGAGATTCGGGTGTTTTTGTTTATGTGATTTCTGTGGTTTTGTTTTTATTGATTTGATTGATTGATTATGCTGGGACTTTTACCTGGGACTTTTACTTGGCTGACTTTGGCAGGTTTGATCAACTTTTGGCTAGCATTTTTTCGTTTTTGCAAAATGAAATCAAGATGCTTGGTAGTTTTATTTCACATGTGTCACATCATAAACACCAAATGCTAGCTCAAAATTGACCAACCCTGTTATTAAAGCCATAGGTCTAGGCTTGCAAATGTAATCATGTCACAGGAGGCATGTGAAAGCAAAACATTCATATGATGACAAAACAACATTTTTCAACAAGCATGTTTTGCAGCTGTAACAAGTACAGTATATTGAAATTCCTCCTGCTACATCATCTCATTGTCCATTGGCATTGAAGTTAAAAACGCTTCAATTCAAAAATTTGGCATTCAATAAATTGAATATGTATCAATAAAGGACAAATTCATTCAGTACCAGTCAGAGTTTGGCAGCAGCCACTATGAGCATACAATTAACAAGTAGAAGTATTGGATAATGTTAACTATGAAAAGATGATGCATTATTAGTAAATAATAATTATTAGTAATTGGTTCATGCTTGGTTCAAGTTTAAGTACTGTTAGCACACCGAGGGCAATATATCAGTTATAAACCGACTTTCGAGGTTTATAACTAACTTATATCTCATTTGTGGAGGTTTTCTAACATATTTTGTCATTTTCAAACATTTTTGATGAAAAATTCTCGCGTTTTGTCGAAAAGTTTGATGTTATTATTTATTCAAGGTATATAAGCTAGTTATAAACCTCGGACGATATCATGAATGTTATGAACCATCCCTAATTTGTTGCTTATACAAGAAGGGGGTATAAATGACAGTTACATAACTAAGAAAGAGGGGGGGGGGGGGGGGAGGTAGGCTGATAACAAGATATGATAATTGGGGGAAGGGTGGCTAAAAAGAGACCAAAATTTAATCATGTAATTATTGAATAGCCCCATATTTGAATTATAAGTATTAAAGCCATTTAAATATTTTCACAAAAACATTACCTGCTTCTCTGCATTCTGAACCACTGCACCCATCATCACAACACTTTTGAGTTCCAGTACATTCATCGTCAATTGAACATAGCGAGACTGGGGGAGGACACTCTGGTTTTACCGGAGCAGTTGGACATTTGCCGGCTGTTTGAAAAGAAAGTTATCATGAATAATTGTTATTGAGTATTGACGCATAAATATAACTTATAATAAAGTTTGCTCGGTGATCTCTACTTTTTATCCAGGTGGTGGAACATTTAGCATTTTATAAAACTCTTCCATAAGTACCATGTACATTTGATGTTAACCACCATGTATTGGACCATCATGGCCATACGGAGGGGGTAAAGTTAGGTGGGGGGAATTTGCCATGTATAACACTTATGTGAAACTAAGGTGATAATACAAATAATAAGTCCTAAAAGATGCATGAATGGCAACAAGGTTTGAGATTAGGCCTTACCTAGACAAGGGCCATAGTCACCACTCCGATTGGTCCGGTTTCAACCGGACCACTTTCCGGAGCAACCAAAAAATGTTTGAGGTGTTAGACTTTGTGCCAATATTACAGGTAAAGTTTTATCTTGGAAGTCAAACTGGTTATGATTAAGATACTTTCTTTGGGGGAGTATCATCATTATTATTGAAGGCCACCCCCAGAAATGATTTCCAGAGGCATTTGGCACCGCCCCCAAATTATATATATTTTGATTTGATAGTTTAATATTTGATTATTGTTACTACTAAATTTGTAAAATTGCCAATATTATGGTTTCAGATCTCGCCATACAGGCCTAGAAAACAAATTTTGTTAAACTTTTTCCTTGGCCTTTCCTGGCGTTGCCACCAGGCTCCGGCCAAAGCAAGCAGCAGCACACCCCCACCCCAGATATGTATCCACCCCCCCCCAAATGAAAATATGAAAAATCCTTCTCTGGTGTAATCAATTTCGGGACTAGAATCTAACCATACCACTTATAAATTGGTGGCCCTGAGATTTAACCTGGTATCCAGCTGAAAATCTGTTATCCAGATTCTCAAAATAAGAAAAGTCAACATTCTTTCAGTATTTAATTTTATTTACTAATACATCCCATGAATATCTAGTACTTCACATTAGAAAATGTTTTTCGTTTGCCTTAAGACAGCTCCAAGTTCAATGTTAACTGCAAATGTTATATACAGGTATGTCAGAATAATTAATAACGGACTTTTGTAATTATCTTGAAATCTTGAAATAATTATCGGAATCGGCTATTGAAAAACAACCCTATTTCCTCTGTTAAACGAAGTAAGTCATTATATGATTTATATCTTGTGAAATGTTGCGTTTTTTTACGCAAAATGTTTGTAATGAAAGACATAAATGTAGACATAAAATGTAAATACCAAATGCTAGAATGTAAACACAAGCGTGCAAAGTATCACTGGCATGACACTCACTCTTTATAAAGATTTATAAAGTCCAACGCGCGACCTTTAAAACTTGGACTTTTATGCCACAGTAGCCTTTCACACATAACTTTTAAACTTTTGGTAAAGAGTATGTAAGAAATCAATCATGCATAAAATCAATCATACATAACATCAGTCATGCGTTTAATTGAATAAATTGCGTGTGAACGGCTAATACCGCAAAGTCCAAGTTTTAGGGGTAAGTTGGATTTAGTGATAAACCACCTTCCAAGTTTGCGTTTTAAACCTTCCATTTGTTGTGCGCAAGCCATTTTTATAGTTGTTTAATTAAACAACAGGCCTGCACTCAAAATTTACTTTTCAAAATAATTTTGGTGGCGAATACTAGTAGACCCCTAGCCTGCGCGCACACTATATAATGACATATATATGTCATTATATAGTCTGCGCGCAGGCTAGTAAACCCCAAACTACCCATGTCTGCACAAAGAGCTTTCACAAATTTGCGCAATTTGAAGTTTAGCGAACATTTTCGAACTGGGCAATTTTGTTATACACCCTGGTACTTTATAGATCAACTATCCTAGTATCAAAATTGATGTGGCTGTATGTGTAAAACACAAACGGATCATTGGAAGGGGTTGTAAAGCTTCTATAATCTCAGTTACAATCTGTTCTGATTCAAAAAGCGTCATATGATATGGATGCACAGTTGGACTTTCAAACTGAATTCTTTATAATATTGATTACATCTCCCCTGTATATTTTTATATGTTTCTCTGTGAAATTATACGGGGAAAAAATTTTATGAGGCACACGATTACATATATAAAATATTCCGTTCGTGTGGCTCATACAAAGTCGTGCGTAAAGTATTTTAAATATGAAAGCTGGTGCAGTTAATAATATAACTCCTTGTGCGATGAAAATGCACGTTTCTTCCCTTAGAATTTTCATTATAATAATACATAAATATCTTGCGTATAACACCAAAACAAAAGGCCTGATTTACTATATGATATGCCGTGTATAAATGCCATTCGCTCTATAGCGTGCCCTTACGAAAATTATGTATGTCAATCTTCCAATTAATATCAAATCTTATTAACCACAAAAGCTACGACTACCAGACATTCACTCTCGCTATATTTATATTTCAGTATCATAAATACTATTTTTTATGCCAAAATGTTCCACATTTTGAAGAAAATCATTCGAATTTGAGATTAATAAGAGAGCACACACATGACTTTGCCTCTCGTTGCTTTTCGTACATCAACACTTGACACCCGACCGTCTGAATATGAGCGAACAATCGGCCCTTTCATTGCATAGCGCTGACCAAGCAACGAGAACACGGAATATTTGTGTCGTGCGATGCCTTTTATTAAAACATTGCTTTATGAAAACAATCTTTCTGCAAGTTTATCTTACTGTGAAATTATCAACTTTGGAAAATTAAGAGACGAGCTCGGACCAAGCAAGTGCGTTCCGTTTGACCACTTATCAAAGGGCCATTTATTCGCGCAAATGCATGGAACCGGTTACGTATGAAAGCACATAAAATACACAATACACTACATTGTAAATCAGTTAAAGAACAAAAACGCAATCAGTATAAATAAATAAAGAACAACATTTTTGTTATTTGATGCAAGACCAACTTTGCTCAATTCATATCATAAAATGTACTGAATCATGCGAAGGTTTTTAATATAGCACGATTATAGCTTGCGTCCAACAAATTCCTTTTAAACAAGACATATTTCAGAACATATGGCTTCAAAGTTATTCATAGTAATCAGAGTAAAATACAATATAAATATATACACTTTTCTATGGAATGGCGGTCAGCAAGACCTTGCGCAGCGCGAGTGAGAATTGCGGATTTCAAAAGGACAACACATATCGTTTACTTACGTTTTTCATCCTGTCCTTGTACAGAATATGTTAGATATAAAACGAACGCTAATGAGAACAGCAATCGATACGCCATGACCAACGCGAGGCTTTTTGGTGCAAAATGGTTTCACGCACTACACACCGTTCGCCTATACTGATCAGAGCCAAGATGAAGATACCGAGGCACTGCGCGCACAATCAGGCGCGGTTGACTAGGGGTCTGTAATCCGACTGCATTCTGTGAATAGCTTCATTAACAAAGACCTCGATTGATATTTGATCCGGCAAAAATGACGCCTTCAATGAAGACCTCTCTTTGACCACTGTCTCTCATTATTATGAAATATTAATAAAACAACGATCAGGTTTCCACACAGCCAGTAAAGCGCATTTTCAATCAAAGAAATCGCGCACGCTTCCATATTTTGGCCACTATTTGGCTCCATTATTTTGCGTCTACATTCATTCATTCCATCTTTTATAAAGATTTCTCTTAGATTTTGTTGACTTGCGTGAGTGGCCAACAGTTTTGTGAATGTTTATTTGTGTGACAGGAACACGTCGACATTCGAACGGAATTAACTATCGGTCTCACGCGCGCAATATGCACGCGAAGCCTTAGCAAGCATATGTCACATATGTGTGTACGAATGGCAGAAACGTCATCATCCATGCCTAGTAAATTGTACGTAACATTTTGTGTGAAGGCACGCAGGGCAAAAATATAAACTTTGGTTGTAGTTCCGAATCGATAATATTCAAATCAGGACAAAAACCAGGATATAGCCTAATACGAACTTGCGTTGAATAAATATTATGCTGTCGTGCTAAATATTATATCACATTTATGATTAGGAATGAGCACTCAAATATACAGTGTTAGCAGGAAAGAATAATTAATTGCAAAATTCGAAATGATATAATTGTTAGCCTGCGCGCAGACTATATAATGACATATACTATATTGTGTAAATGCGCAATTTGATCTTTAACCTCGCTAAGAATAATGCATTTGTTGAAATGCATGGGACATTTATTCCATACTGACATATACCAACCAAATCACAACTCAATAAGAATTCATGCATATTTCATGCAAACGCTAGCATGTTGTATCTTTAATGGTAAATAATATATTAGTCACACTTTAAATGTATGATAGTCTCGATTCATGAAAACACTTTATAATATAATGTTTGTAAATTATTATAATTATATCACGTTCATACAAATTAATATATCTGAGCGCAGTGATTTCGAAATTTGGGGTAAAGATAAAAGCTAAAAAGCAAACATATAAATAAACAGAAAACAAGTAAATAAACTTATTATTATTTAGCTCGTCATAATGTCATTCAGTGTATATACACGCTGATAATTTGGAAATTATAGATACATAATAAGACAAGTTAATCACATAATAGCTATTTATAAATATTTTTAGTGACAGACCGCTAATAATACAGCATTATGGCGAGGTTGCAAAAAATGCCCCACAAAAATCAAACCTGAAAAAATTTCTGTAAGATAGAAATTTTAAACACAAGCAACCTATTTTTTTCTCAAATTTACACCTTCAACTTTTCTTTGTAAACCCTATAGAAATCGGATATCAACCGTTCTACAGCCAGCTGGAGCTTGGAGTATAATTAATGAAATTCTAAAATGATTTTTAGATGTCAAATTTAAATCGTAAATCTGAGCATCAAAAGTAGAACGACAACGCATAAAGACAAACGCTATAAAATTCAATAGCCTGTATTCTATCACACTAAAGTGGTAAATATGTGTAAACAGTCTAGAGGCTGAAGTGGTGGCTGGAAGGAGTATTGTGGCCCAGAGCATGCCCGTTCGCAGGCAGTGCGCAACCCTAACCTGCGAACGGGCATGCTCTGGGTAGTTCCTGCAAATCAGTTATGTGAACACGATGTATGACTACGAGAGTCGTTGTTTGCACCATTCAATTATAAGTAAACTGGAACGATAACTCCTGTGATAAAGGCCTATAGTTGGGTGAAGCCAAATTTCGAGCGCTCAAGTATAGCCGGTTCTCAGGTAGCCGTCGGTACTTTTACTAATTTAATGCATAATTTTAACTTATTAAAGTACGTTTCTGGATGTTTGGACATCCATTATCAACTGTATCTAAGATTTTTGTACATAAATTGTACAAAATTGCCTCTGAACTCTTTCCAGAAAGTCTTTCCCTTTATTTGCTGAGTTTCGTTTTGTTCGTGTCATATTTCGGCAGTTATATATGGCAAGTATCACTTCCGGTGAAATGGCGGACTGTGATTGGCTGAGCCGTATAATAAAATTGTACTGATACTAATGACTTTCAGCGGAAAAACAAACGCATGCATTTTAAAACAAAACAATAAAAGTCATTGAAAATTTGTAAATTATAATTTGATTTGTTATTAATAAGATATCTGCACATGGTTTTTAGCGGAAAAGAAAGAATACATTGGTATTTTTTGTTTTCTTCGACCAAATGTGTACCACGCTACTAATATGCATTTTAAGTCACGTATTTCTTGTTTGTTTCGAGTATAAATGCCTATAAATGTCATATAATAAACTTTTTATTAACCTCGCTTGCTCGGTATGTACAGAGAAATATCGGACCGAGGTCTTTTTGTATAAACCTCGCCCTACGGGTTCGGTCTGTACAAAGAAGACCTCGGTCCGATATTTCTCTGTACAGTTAATATTTGCTTTTTTATGTGCTTTAAATAAATGCTGCGTTGTCATAGTGTGCTCTAGGATAAAAATAATGCCTGGAAGAAAGTAAAAGTGAGAAAATTTTATGACGATTTTTAAGTTATATTTTTCGCATATATTTTGTAAAAAAGGACTGGGGTATAGGCTACCTGCAGAAAACACTTGGTCAACTTATCATTCCAGTTTATTTATAGTTCAATTGGTTTAATTGCACATGCTCGCCATCTTCTTACGCGCCATTACGTACACACGCTATAATCTGATTCTCGTAATTGATGCATGTTTTGATTGATTGATTTATTTATTTATATACAGACTTGCCACTCACATTAGAATGATTAAGTTTTAAACAATATTAATGAGGAAAAGTACTGTGACAGGGTAGCTGCAACAGCATACGCCATTTGTAAGGCGTCAGTACACATGATGGCGTAAGACGTCTCTATCCAAATAAACGAATCTCGTAGTCGTACACTCGTACTCGCAACCTGATCTAAAGCTCTCTCATTGTCACCTGAAGATTTTACATCATGTTCAAGTGCTCGGGGGCATTTCCAAGATACAGGGTCACCAGAAAAATGTGTTCACCTAAATTCTCCTCCCGGGTGACAATACTCCCCCACCTCTGCACTAAAATACGCCTTGATGGAACACCGAACAAACAACCTCGTCCCCAGGGCAAGACACTATACCGAGAGTATGGTGAAGATTCACTTACGTATTGTACTTGCAGTCATATGCGTTTGCCAGACCCACTGTGAGGGCCGCCCGAGCTTGGGCCTGGGGACGAGGATGGGATAGCTCTTAAAATGAGGATGCTCTTAAAATAAAGTCTTTGGTTGAATAAGTTAGCAAATAGCTCATTATTTCACATTTATTATTCATAAACAAACAACAAAAAATTTTTAAATTCGCATACATTATCGTCTCAAAACACCCAGAAATTCTGGGTGTCATGTGACCAGCCGATCCCAGGGCCATTTTCGCCGACATTCAGCCGTGGAGGCAAAATGCCCTGTGGACGAGGTTGCAACCCAAAAGAAATTGTTGGTACATTGAAACTTTGAAAGCCCGCCTTACGGCCACCCCGTTAAATTGCGTTAATAGGGTAACCTTCTTATCACGGCCACTTATTTTTCTCCCCGAAAAACGCCAAGGCAATATATATTCTTTTTCGACCGGTTCTTGGCCGTATTAACGGTGTTGAACTGTAGATCTAACTTCTTAAATCGATTTACTAGATAAATTCTGTTTGCCTGCTGAAACCAATATGACATTACACAATTTCCATAATGACCCACACACATTAATTAATGCCGAAAAATATAACCGATTATCAAAATTTGGGAAACCAGTTTTGAAAATTCAAAAGCTAAACAGTCATTGTGGGGTCAAATTTGACAGTGCAAATATCTGGTGATCTCGGGGATCATTAAGTACCCAGATCCATCGCGATGCCAAACCATCAGCCATTTTTAGCTACTGTAAGTCATACAATCATCTGTATATGTGTGACTAGTGGTCAAATTCATTCTCACATATATTTAGTTCAAATTAAAATTACTTAATATTTCATTACATATTAGCCTGCAAAGCAGGCGCTATGTCAAAGAGCGCCTGCCATCATCTCTATATATTTTGAAATACGCTCACTTTTAATTTTTGCCCTCCTACCAATAACCAGCCAATCAAAATGCACTTTGTTACTGTGTAGATTATGTAAACTGATTATATATTCCCGCGAAAAGTAAGCTCTATAGAGCGACAGGCGAGAACTGATGATTATTGTTTTTAATTCTTATTTTCTTGATGTTTGTGGTGTTACTCTGAGGGTGCATCCACACAGGGCAAGCTGAAAAGTTTGCCTGACCACGGTGGGAATCGACCTTTGGGATACTAGCCCAATGCTCTGCCAACTGAGCTACGAGGTCAAGTCGGTTCGAGAGTTGGTGATATTTCGGAACTGAATCTAGTTCCTTCGATATCAATGTAGTCTAAGATATGATTCTTTTGTGTGTGTTGGTGTTATGTACTCAGGTGAATATGATGTTTGTGATGTTACTCTGAGTGTGCATCCACACCGGGCAAGCTTAAAAGTTTGCGTGACCACGGTGGGAATCGAACCCGCGACCTTTGGGATACTAGTCCAATGCTTTGCCAACTGAGCTACGAGGTCAAGTCGGTTCGAGTTGGTGATATTCCGGAACCGAGTCTAGTTCCTTCGATATCAATGCATTCTAAGATATGATACTTTTGTGTGTGTGCATGTTGTTATGTACTCAGGTGAATATGATGTTTGTGATGTTACTCTGAGTGTGCATCCACACCGAGCAAGCTGAAAAGTTTGCCACGGTGGGAATCGCGGGTTTGATTCCCACCGTGGTTATAGGCAAACTTTTCAGATTGCCCGGTGTGGATGCACACTCAGAGTAACACCACAAACATCGTATTCACCTGAGTATATAACGCCAACACACATGCACACAAAAAAAAGATCGTACATTATCACAGGTACGTATCGATCATTTTGTAATATGTTTATCAAATCTGATTATTTAGGTTAGATATCGTTTCTAATTTGCTGTTGAGTCTCATTTTCGGGTCACTGGTTGGAAATGAACAAACGTGAATAATATCCTTGAAATATACAGCGGATATTCAATATAAAATTAATTCGGATCAGTGAAATAAGTAAGAATTACTCTTTCACACGATACTAATGAACGTCATCGAGCGCACGCGGGACGACACGCAATGTAGCGCATGTGTACAAGGCAGCAAAAGGTCTATTATATGCATGTACAGTACTTGTATGTTGCAACGATTAACATATAAAAATACAAAAATACTTACCCTTTGGCCGTGATGCCGTTGGCTCAACCACTAGAAAATAAAAAAAATCCCAAGTTGTTCACATTTGCAATTGTATACAGAAAACTCGATTAATTGGAAGTGAAGATTATTCTTGGACAGTTGGACGTTATAGTGGCCATATTGGAAAAACTTCGCCGCTGTCTTTATCTTATAAATTTCAAGGAATTGATTACCACCCACCAATATTAGAGAGTTTGAGCGAGCGACGTTTTTGAAATTCGCGGCGGCATTCGGCAATTGCCGACGTAATTGCCGACGTGAATAGCGAAAATAGCCTATCACGACGGCACTTTTTTGCCGACGTGAATAAATTTTACGATATCGGCAAGGAATTGTTTATAATCGACGGAGAAGCAAGGTTGCTTATCATCTTGATCGGCAAGAAATATATTTTAACCATTGGCCCAAAAACACATGATGTACGGTCAAAAGACGCGAACTTTTTTCGCTGTTATTATTTACTATAAAGCAAGTTTGCATGAAGTATTTTCGTCTCTTCAACAGTCTGCAATCCGAACCGCTGATCACGTTCTGTTTTGCCACAGGCTAAAAGGTGAGTACAGAGTAAATGAGTACAGAGAAAATGCCGCTGTATTTTGCTGCGAGAAGAATGAAAAAATGAAATAATTATAATTAAGCAGTACCATTGGGCGTTTTTTTGGCGAAATAAAAGTAATTTTCAAAATAATATTAAGATTTTGTTTTGACTGCACAACTTTTTTGTATAATCTACTGCAGTCTACAGTAGTTAAGTTTAACTTGTAAGTAACATTACATATTAAAAGGTATACTTGTATATTATCTCTTGACTTTAAATGACTTTTAGGGGAATTTAACCCAATTAAAGGCTAAAACTAAACATCAACTGCTTTCAAAAATTTGCCGCCGTGAATTCCGCTATTGCCGTCGCGAAACAGAAAATAGAGAGTTTGGCAAATACAAGGGCAACGGCAACGGCAATATGGTCATTAACAATAGCATTAATCCTCAAAGACAAAGGCGAATGTAAATTACATGGTCTTAAGCGTTGTGCAATGCCGTAGTTGTTGAAACTAATACGTGATTTGCATCATTTTCACGGTGCATGACTACGGCAACAGTTAATTTGTTCGATGTTATTTGAGAGTTTTATTGAATTCGCGGACTATTTTTTCTTAATCTGTTGACGTGGTCACGAGCCGTGAAAATGATGTATATAACGTAGCAGTTTGAACAACTACGGAGTGCTACAATGTTTTAAGGAATGCAAATTATAGTCGCCTTTGTCTTAGAGTAAAGATACCGTACTATTGTTGATGTACTATTTAAAACATGAGCAGCAGTGTTTTATCAGATATAAAGAGACGAGGCGAAGCCGAGTATCTTTAGGTTTGATAAAACACGCACAGCAAATGTTTTAAACCGCTTCAAAAACGATCGATCTAGTAAGTTCATTGGCAAAGTAATTTTCAAAAAATACGTTCTGTAAGTCGAGAAAATCAAAGTTAAACTTGATGTAAATCAAGGGAAATCTCTATCACATATAAAGATACAACACGCTTATGATTTTTCTTTGTATTTTCCTCATAAACTATTAATGAGTTTTTGAAGCGCGCGTTCTCGTTGCCGTTGTATTTGCCAAACTCTATTTTATTCAATCCTTGCTGCAATCATTAGCCTCAAATAAGTGATGGCAAAACTAGTCCTGATGGTGATTGAATTATATTCCGGGCAACCAATTTTCATGTCCGACTTGCCCTGATGATAAGGGGCAGAAACAATAAAGGTCGGTCGGGAAACCGAAACCACAGGATATTTTTGGTTAGGCCCAAGGCATGTGTATGGCCACCCCACTTACAGGGTTCTGCACACTGGAAACCAAGACATCCATCATCACAACATTTCTGAGTGCCAGGGCATTCCACATCAATTGAACAAAGCGACGATGGTAAACCCGGACATTCTGGTCGGATCTGAGGTATTGGACATTTTCCAGCTGAAAGGAACATAAAATTCTCCAATTAGTTCTATATGTTACTGGCCTAGAAACAGACTCGAAATTGTCTTAGGTATTTTCAGTCAGTTGAAAATTTAATATAATTTTCAGTCAGTTGATAGTTAAATGGAGGATTGCTAAATCATCCGTACTTGCACCTCAGAGCTACGATGAATTGCGAAGGATGCAACTCAAACATGATCGAGTTGAAGGCTTTCAGTTTTCCAAGGGCGCCCCTGGCAGTTACCTTATGACTCATGTGCGTTCACGGAGTACAGCTACCGCGGATGAACCAGTTAGAGGCTAATCCCAACCCACCTTCTCAACACTCCTTGTGCATGGGAGGAAACCGCGGACAACCCGGACAAAACCCACGACATTCGATAAAGTGTTGACTGACTTTTTCACATAAATGTCATGAATGATGAGTCGATCCGCAGCGAGAAACGAACCCACGATCTCATACTATGTGAAAGGTGCTTGCTTTGAAGATTGCGCCACTGAAGTCTAACGGTACATATGACGGTACAATACAATACAACATTTATTGAACGCTCCCCAAAGAGGCTTTTCAGAGCCAAGAAAAAATATTCTAGACTATATTTTCTGTATATTGAATTAAAAAGCAAACTATAATATAACATCTAATACTATAATTGTCAATGACCAATGATAACTACTGTATATACAGCAGTGATATTTGTTATTGTATACTAGGTTTTACAAATGGATTTACCCTTAAAAACATTTTCAAGGACTTTCAAGGCTACAGTACCACGAAATTGAAGGACTGAAGGGCTGAACAGGTGTTCGAAATCGTGGAAAGTGATGTTAAACATCGTGAATTTCGAACAGCTTTGTAAGACAAGAACAAAATCAATTCGTCCATATTTTATTATGAAAATATTCGCAAATTTCAAATACGAAAATACTAGCAAATTTCAGAAAATATTCAAAAACTACAGCAGGAAGAATTCACAAGAAATTTTAAACATCTATTTTTAATAATTTTAATGCAATGGAAATATGAAAACGAAATGTGGGAACATTATGGCGGCGCCTTCGACTGTGTTTGCAGCAAATTGCATGTTTAATAAAAGGAAACAACTTTGAAACTATGATCAAGAAATATAAACAAAAACATCCGCAAAAGGTTTTGAATTAAGGTACTTATGAAGGAAAATGAAAGTATTTCGGAAAAAGAACTGGTCATTATTTTGACAAATTGAACGAACATGTGCAAATGTGTCTTTCATCCTTTAAATAAATAATAAAACAATTATTGAATTCGGTTTTCACCAGATATGAAGAATTATGAAGCCCTCAGTTTGATAACACATACTTCTGCCTTGAGAATTCTTCATATCATGCTCAAAGATCGTTACAACCCCATTCAATAATTGTTAATTATCAGGGTATTAGCCAGAAAAAACGTTTTGTCCGTTAAACGTAAATTGGGAAAGTTTTTGACCGCTCAAAGTCCTTGTGTAGGAATAACAGGGCCGCCGAGGGTGGGGGCAGGGGGGGATTGCCCCGGGCCCCCAGGTTTTGGTGGCCCCTGGAAATTTTTTGTTGGGCCCCACCCCCAGAAGAAATATTTCCGCGCAAAGGGCAAGATATTTGGTTTTTTGGGCAAAGTAGCGAAATTTGGTATCCGAAAAAATTTTTTGGTTGTCCGAAAAAAATTTTTTCCGGAAAAATTTTTGAAATAGGGGCACCTAAAAAAAAATTTGGCCCGGGCCCCCTCCAAGCTCTCGGTGGCCATGAGGAATAAATAGTGTTTTTTTGAACGTGTTTCTCCTTAGATGCAAATAACGGTAGCTTGGTTTTGTACATTTCATTCCCGGTGAATGAACACTGAAAAACACGGATGCACACCGATTACACTTTGTATTTGTACGTTTCATTTCAGTGAATACACACCCAATATGAATGAAACACGATACATTTTGAGAAAATAGTTAATGGAAAAATGTAAATAAAACGTTCTTTGATATAATAATATAAAATCAAACGCAATGCACCTTCTCATCAGAAAAAATGAAAATCTTCCAGTAGACCCAGTTGGGAAAGCCCCTTAGGAATTCAATGATTCCCCTGATGATGACTCAACAGTAGTCGAAACGTTGAATTAAAAGCCCCTTAGCCACTTCAATTGGGAAGAGTCCGTCAAACGGACAGTATATGGGCTAGCTAACACCCTGATTATATAATAATATACATAAAAATATTACTCGACTGTGATTGGTTGATTGCACTGCAGTTACAATAATCTGAAACTGCAGTGCAAAAATCTGTAACTTACAATAACAAACAATGGTACGGTACCTAAAATCAACCAATCATATTAAAGCAGTCGTCAAGTAATGGACGCAGATCGCTTCAAAACAAAAGAAACATAGCAGGCACGCTACATAAATAAATTAAAAGTTAAATTTGGGTGGAAAATATGGCATTTATCTTTATTTTATTTGGAAAAGACTTTATCTGAAATTAAACAAGACTAGCAAAACTTAGATATTTGAGTAAAATTTTCAACAAATTGACTATATATACAGCTGAGCCGGCAGCCAGCTATTTATTAAACTGCCAACTATATATTAATGACTACAGGTAAAGTTGATAAACCGGTCCCAACCCCAAATCCTGCTCTAACCCTAACCTTTTAAGAAAAAAAATACTAAGTCATACAAAACACAACCTGACTCGGACTGCATTTCATATTCAAGCCCGCTAAAAGTAGTGCAAACAAAAGTTTTTATACTGTATATGAACTATAGTCACTATACAGGCTGTATAAAAAAAAAAGGTAATCGAACTTCAGCGCACTATTATACGTGAATTACTCGGTGTACGAACAATTGGTTTTCATATTTGGAAAGATCAGGCTTTTAGCTATTGCATGACATGCTTTTCATACCAAGTGGAGAAAAAATAAGCATGTACGAGGCCGATCAAAAATGTTAGTGCCTAATTAAAACACCTCTGTGCCTAATTAAAACAATGCATAACAAAAGAAAAAGCAATCCCATGGTCCTTTGCGTTAGAAGCAGTGTTAGGGACTGTGGAAGAGTCAGTCGTACCTTAGCTAAGATTTATTCCAGCCTACTTAATAATAATTATGAATATGTGCGTCGTTTATTGAAGTGAAATTCATCAACTCAAGTACCAAACGGGGTTCATTTTCAATGGTTTTAGACCCAACTCTCAACGGTGAAAAATAAATATGCAATTCTGACTAAATTTTTTATCGGATTCGTATTTGCTTATTTTTTATCTATTCGGCATGAAGATATCATTCAACAGCTAAAAGCATGATCTTTCCGAATGTGAAAAAATGTCGTTCATACGCAGAGTAATTCAGATATAATAGCGTGTTAAGTTTGATTACTTTTTTTATACACCCTGTATAGCCGGCAATTTACTAAATATATATAGCCGGCTGCCGGTAGCGTGTGTACAGCCATTACTCTCAACAAAGCGTGCGAGAGAACGTCTGTGAGTTGGATGCATAATCCTTGTTCAGGTCACGTGGATAGTTCCCAGATTTGGGGACAGGCCTCAGTGCTTTATTTGAATAATTTATGACAAATGAAGCTATTTCATTGGTTAATTGTAATGATAATGAGCATGCGTTTAAAATAACAACACAAAAATTTTAAATTGAAAGATTTCCAAATCAAGAATCAAGATTTCCTTCGGGGCATACAAAAGTTTGAAAGACTTGAAATACAATCTGTCGAGTTTAATTTTGTGCTGTATCAAAGTTTCAGAAAATCAAGATAAAATTCTAGTGTTTGAACACTCAGCAAACAATGCTGACAAATATATAAAATACAACAAACTATCGGACAAAGATTGACAATTTATAATTGACAATTTAATAAATTGACAATCTGTTTATTAATGTCCCGACCCCTCGCGATAAAGCATTTTCTTTACTGGAAGTCCGCGGTTCGTGGTTCCTGGAAGCGACGGACTTCTGTCACCCACAAGCGCGCCAAATTCACCGGTACATTTTTGCTCCGGTGACGTCAGTGAATGCTCATTATTATTCTGTACTAACGACGCCAAAACAATAATGAACTAGTGAAATCGACATGGTGAACGCCCACTATGTCATAATTGATTTTCGCGCCAAATCTTTCAGTAAGATTCAAAATCAGGCAAGTGACACAAGTCGCTCGCTTCCGTCTTTCTCAAGCGCTCCCTTCTTGCTACGCGCGTCCCTAGCGAGCGACTTGGGCAAGTCTATTTCTTTACATGTAATGTGTTTAACTTCGTCTTACTTGGCCAGTTAACTTTTAATTACTTTAAAATGCACATTTTAAACAACCAGTTGTGTTTATATTTCATACTTTATCTTTGTAAACAAAATATACTGTATGCCATATGTATGCCAAGGAGTGAGCTTGTACACCGGACTTGCCGGCAATGATCGTCGTTCAGCATTGTTCGCATTCAAAACAAATCTCTTCATCGAGAAATATATGCAATATATTTCTGGTGTATCGTTTTTCCGGAGGGTCTAAACTGCAGGTTGCAGGTTAATGCAGGTTGCAGGTCCGTGCAGGTTGGTCTAAACTGCAGGTTGCCAGTCAGTGCAGGTCAATGCAGGTCAGTGCAGGTTAATTCAGGTCAGTGCAGGCCGGGTAACGGTTCATGTACTTTAGCCTGTGTAGCCCAGTCGGTTTGACAATAATTGTTTTCCTAATTTCCTTCAATTTCTTTCTGTATTATTTACTATAATGGAACTCATGTTATTTACACTGTGCTAGATCAATACATATAAACACTGACAGAAAACAATTAAAGCAAGTCTTTCAGTTCAGTTTTGAACCGAGATTTTCCGAAGTTGACAAGTCTCTCTTTTCTTTCTCGCTCCGACCCCGGCCCTCCGTACTACGTCATGTAATGTACACTATAGTGGATCGATATGATAATGAAAGAGAGACCTGGAGCAAGTCTGATGATACACTATGTCTTGGAAAAGTCTCCGAAACAAACTTTTAT